AAAAAAAAAAAAAAAAACCAAACAAACAAAAAACAGAAGACCACATTTTCAATATAATACGAGAACATGGTTTACCTCACCATCTTATTCATAGTGGCTGGCCTTCCACATATATCGGACCTTCTACCTAGACTAATCTGTGAATCCAGTCATCACCAGGTTGTTGGTTCCCTTTCCCCAAAGGCTTTCATATCTCCCTGCGCTTAGTTACTTCCTGTCTCTTCTCTGAAATCATACATGCCAGTGTTTACACACACACACACACACACACACACACACACACACATACCCTCAGCTTTCCTTTTTATGAATCCTCAGGGTAGCTATGCCTTCTCCATTTTGTGTGTTTGGAAGGAAAGACAGCAAAATATACGAGATGCCAATGCAGTTTTTCCTTTTGCAGATCTCTGCAGGACAATTATCCACTCAATCGGCTTCATTTTATAGCTCTCATAACCCTCCTTTATGAACACACTGTGACAGCTGGATGTGGCATTGATTATGGCAGCAGTCTGCAGCCACATTCCTATTTAACTGCAAAGCAGAGCTCTTGCCTACCAACCCAGCAATGAACCTGTGACGTTTTAATTACTGTATTTATGTAAGTCTGTTCCCGACCCGTCTGTGTCCAGCTCCATTAAAACTATGGAGGATTTGTGCTTGCCACTTTCAAGGAGGTCTTCGGCGCTATAGCCTAGAGTCTCTTGTTGGAACCAATTTGGGCTCTGGGCTTTTTCAGGAGAGGTCTCCAACGGTTGGGGTGCACAGAAAGCACATTTTTTTCATAATGAGAGAGCTGAAAAAATAGATAACAAAACATTTTGGCAGATGCCAAGGGCAGTGGTTGATTCCCAGGGGCTCGCTAGGCAATATATGGTGCCAGGTGCACATTGGTAGGATGCAGGGGAAAGGGAAATGGAAAAGGAGGAGCTCTAGAATCTAGGAAATTACAATATAAATTTAGGAATTACTGCCGATAGGCTTTTTCCTTCTAGCCCTCAGCATCTCCACCTGTGAAAGCAAGACAGAATCATAATGACTCTGCTTAGTGGGGAAAGGAAGTTTTAGTTTTCAAAAGCAATCTTCCTAACATGGCGTTCTGTCTGTCCAGAGCAAAGATAGGGCCTCTTTGGCTGATTGTGCCTGCCAGAGAAAGACGGCGTCCTTTAGCGCTGCAGCTCAACTAAGGATCTTACTGCAGGGAATCAGGGATGCACTTCTCGGGGTCAGACGATAGGACTGACTCCGGAAAACCTCCTGGAGGGCTGGACCAAGGTGACCTGTGTGGGTGGGAGTTCCATTAGCCAGTGACAGCGCGGCTACAGAAAGGATCAGCGTGGGAGGCACAAGAGCGCAGAGTAGGCTTACAGCAACCAAAAGCTGCCACACGAGTGTGAGAAACACACACCCCGGGCGCGCTCTGAGCCGGCCGGGAGTCAGCCTGGCTCTATAGAACACAGGGTGTCTCCTTAGCAGTTACCCCTGCATAAGAAATAGGACGGCACCCCTACTCCTTTTCTACTAGAGTCTAGCGCCTACGTACGGAACGTTCGCCTCCACTACCGAGGTGCATTTAAGCCCCGCCTTCCCGGGCGGGGCGCGTTCCCCGCCCACACGGGGCCGGGCCATACGTCACCGGACCCGGGGCGGGGCTTCCTTCGCCTCCCCACTACCCTTTCACCTACGGCCTCTGAGCCGGCTGGTTCTTTCTGCAGAGCTCCGGACATTTTCGGGTGAGTTGGGGTCCGCTGGGGGACGGCAGTGGAGGTGTACTCTCCGGGTAGAAACGAATGGGGGAGGCTTCTGCCGGGGCACGGGACGAAGCTATGGTTTGCTCTCTTTTACCCCGGGCTTGGAAAGCATCTTAAAGAGACAGAATTTGAAGGCCCAGAATCAACCCCTTGTGTTCTGCTGTCATTGTTTCTCTCTGGGGAGTCCCCTGGAGCCGGACTCCGAGAGCCTAGCTCTCCCCAGGCACATATCGTGCTTGGGAAGGTTGTGAGGAGCACGTGTCCGGGTGGAACTGGGTCGGTCCCTGACTCAGCCCAAGGCCGAGAGAGAAGCAGGCCAGTTTTAATGTTCTTAGACATGAGCGATGAATCCTCTATTATGTTCCTGTTCCTCTGATTATTTGGAGTAGATTAGGGGTTAAATATATTTGAAAATGGCTGGGAAAAGATACGGGCTTAGCGAGCCTTACCATACATAAAGGCGAATTATAGTCGTGAGTGTAGCCACGTTTATTAACGTTTTTGCAAGCATGTTGGTTCTTTTTTGTTTGCGGTAATACGGATTGAACTCAGGGCCTTCTCACTAAGCTGCATACTCACATCCCCCCGCCTTTAATTATTTGCTATCGTTTCTGCTGCTCTGGCCTCACAAAGTTAAGGGACGCTAAGCTGTACATGTACTCTCTTAAACTGTTTGCTGATGATAACCTGGAATGCTTTGATTGCAGAATGGCCGATGGTGGGCTTCAGGTAGATGAGACCCCAGGTAAGTGCAACCATTTCAACCCCTTTTGGGCCCCAGCTGTAGGCAGCTGCCTAGGTTGCCGCGTATCTGGGCATGTGTTACACTGCTGGGAGAACAGCAGCAAATGGCTGGTTGGCGTTCTGGGCCTGGTTCATGACACTTTGTGTTAACTATTCCAGGATGTCAGCATAGTTTGTAATCCGGTAAGGTTAAATCTGTGCGAGCATAACTTTTGCAGGGATAAAACCTAAAATCCTTACCTTCCTGAGTGGTTCTGGTCTAATAGATTTGACTTGACATGAATTTACTGTCACACCTTAGAAACTGAACAGAGTCATCAAGTCAGGGAGGGATGTGCAAATAGAAGGAAACAATCACAAGTTTTGTGCCTATGAAGCCCTTTAAAAGGTCTGATATGGGCTGGGGATTTAGCTCAGTGGTTGCAAGCCTAAGGTCCCCAAATTCAATCCCCCGGACCAAAAAAAAAAGTCTGATATAGGGCAGGGGAGGAGGGGTTGGCTCAGTGTTTCTGCGGCTTACCTTGGTCTACCTTACAAGCGCAAGGGCCAGAGTTCCGATCCCTAACACCCCCCCCAAAAAAAAAAGGTCTGCTTATAGGACCGGAATTTCATTGAAGCCAGGGTGTGTGGCTCCCGTTTTTCCAATGATAAAAGCTAGTCATAATCCCTTGGTTAAAAGATTTCATAACTGAAGTTGTCCATAGGGTGCCCTGTTAGGGAAATACTGATGAGAGTTTGCTTTAAAATTATGGGAGCCGGGTGTGGTGGCGCATGCCTGTAATCCCAGCACTTGGAGGCTGAGGCAGGAAGATCGCTGTGACTTCGAGACCAGCCTGGGCTACACAGCGAGTTCCAGAGCAGTCTGAACTACATAGTGAGACCCTGTCTCAAAAAACCAAAAAAAAAAAAAAAAAAAAAAAAAAAAAAAAAAAAAAGGGG